TAGATGGAATATGAATTGACTATAGACAGGACGTTCGTTTCGAAGAAGTCTACTGATTACCTTATTTATTGAATTGAGTTGAATAGTTTATTTCAGTTATGATTCGACTCATGAACGGTGTCACTTATGAAAACACACTAAAGAAGCAGATGACTTAGAAAAGTATCAGTTGTTAATTTTCATTTTTGACATTTTTGTATCTTCTTAACACTGTCGAATTTCTGAAAATGGATTTCAAATGTGCACTCGGCACATTCTCATGATCTCATCAAGCTTTTTTTCAACTGAAAATGATACTCAGAAGCTGAAAACACGTGTTTGGCTTGAATCTTGACTCATACATTGAGAAGAAGAACAAGAAGAATTTGTACGGCAACTAAGCGAATGAAAAGCACAGGCTGCAATTCCTGCAGTACGCCGACGTAAATAACTCGAATGATTCTGTATAATTATATTAGAGATGAGAAAGGAAAATGTCTCCACTTAGTATCTCATCTTTCTGTATTCACCAATGTCAAATGATTATTGATGAAATAAAACAAAAAAACTTATTTAACGATTGTTCTATAGACATATTTTTATTAAACTACCTTTTCATGTTATTATAATAGACTGACTTTGATATAATGAATTGGATTAGTAGGATTTTTTTTTTCGTTTTCTCTTTACGCATCCAATGAACTCAGAAGGAATGCTGAGTACTGTTCAGTATGCTGAATTTTGTTTTCTAAGTTGTCAGAAAAGTTCTAATGAAGTAATTCATATTGACAAACAACTTGTATCTTTTCTCTACCTATCTAAATGTTAAGTCATAGCATCTTTTAGTATTTTGATTTATTTTCTTTGAAGAAAGCAATATATTTCATATGCGGATGCTCTGTATTTGTAATCATGATCAATTGTGACGAATATTTTAGCCACAAAATCTCAATTTGACATTGTATCGGTTTTTTTTCTTTTTATCGAAATAGATGAACACTCTGGCATTCATCATGCTTTTTGTTGGTTTTTTACATAATACTCGATTTTATCAAGTAGATGCAAACATCAATTCAAATATCACTCTCCCATTGTTTAACAGTCTATTCTACACTATCATGCTCTTCAATAGTTCAGTGTAAACGTTTTTAAAGCTAAAAATATTGTGGAGTAAAATTAATTTACATCAAGAAAAAATGGTAAGTGATCTTGTCGGATAAAGTGAATGTGTAAAATGCAGAGAACTGATTCTTACTCTTGCAAATTTGTTTGATTTTGATTATTTCTTTGATATGATCTTAATTATATTTAGTCTAAAGATTCTCGTGACATTCGATACTCGTGAATCAATGACCATGGGAAAGAAATGAAACGAATTTAGATTTAATAAACAGTTTTTGATCACTTTTAATAGATTTTTATTTGTTCAAACGTGTCAACATAATAGAGAAATTTAGAAAAACACTAGTCACAAGCTCTTCATTATATACCATCACCTAGGAAGACAGCAAGAAAGAAAAAAAAAATATTATTGCGTTTATTCATTAGTTCTTTATTTACATATTTTATCGTCACGTTTCACCTCAGTGCACAGTCACGAGCAAAAGAAAAAAGATCGATGACAGTACATAATAGAAAGTACCTTGTACGTTTTTTATTACTTTAGAGTTAAAAGAAAGTCATACTTTCCATATATCTCTACCGATTTTTTTTCAGAAATTCTAGCATATCTTTTCATTATTTGTCATTTGTAAGCGAATTTACGTATTTGCCCTCTATCACTGTGACGTACTTTGAAACTGTGTTAATCTTGCATTCATGCAAACATTTTTTAAATATCAACTTAATTTATGGATCCTAGAAATTAATGAAGGAATACCAGTTAATATACTGTAAGAAAACAATTTTATCATTATACATATTTGGTATAATCTCAATGGAAAAAAAAATTATGAATTTAGTAATACTTCTCTGACATGAATTCGAATATAAGTGAAATTTTCGTATTTACTTTTGGTCGTAAAAGCCAAAAAGAAACTAAATTTCTTTTAATTCAAGTTTTATTCAAGTAATAATTATTCTATCAAAATATAGGTGAAAATGTAGTCTAATATTATTCTGGATATTAAATTGAATTTGAAATTTGTGTAATTTTCTAGATAGAATTAGATGTGCATTCATATATAAATTTTATAAGTAAGCAAATCTAACCATCAACACAAAATGATGTATCCAACTACAGTTAAGTTTGCTCATTGAATAGATACGACTTTATCAGTACTTGCATCATTTTGATCTTTTTCTTTTTATGAAAGAATAGATATATATGATTCCCCGTTATTCAGATGAATATTGTAATTTCTTGAGTGTTTTTTTTAATGAATGTACGTTCAATTTATTCAATGAAGATGAACACATGAAATAATAGACGAGGAGGCGATCAAGAGAAAAGCAAGAAACCTATCACAGCAAGAAAATATATCGAATAACGAAAAGAGGACATTAGCATATAATGTGTGAGAATGCAATAGAAAAAATTCACAATTGATGTGCACATAATTAACTAAATGTCTCAAAATAAAATAAAATAGAATAAAATGAAAAAATTGTATATGAAAATTCTTCTTTCTTGTCAGGGTTTCCAACTAATTGAGTATTGAACAATAAATCATGGTATTATATAAATAACGAAAATTTTCAAAAGTATTTTTATGTAAACATATAAATTGGAGGGGCAGTGAAGTTAAATTGCTAGAAAAAAACAAACGTCCTGTTAGAGAATTTAGATCTAAGAAACCATTACTAATGCAATAAAGTCTTTGTTAACGATAGATATCAATTTTATATTTAATATTTTTCCTGAAAAAAACTGAACGATAACTAATAAAATATTGAATTTATCAACTAATTTTTTTACTACGTAATAGTAAAGTGCTCATTGAAGTGTTTCATTCATTTTCCATTTGATGAATCGGAGCAATTATTTTTGTTCAAGTCACTGGTTAATGATCAACAGTATTTTCGACAGGAAAAGAAATCATTTTTCAATGATTTGTTCCAATTAAAATTAAAATTATGCTTCTTGCTATTTTATTCACATTATCAACATGACTCAAATACATAATTATCAGGAAAAAAAATCAAATTAATGTTGTTCTTGTTATTTTCTTCACTCTTAATAGAGAGAGAAAAAGTATATACAACGTGCGAGACAACGTATCTAATATGCAGCGAGATTCTAGTTATTGCACGCATGAATGACAAACGAAAATTGAAGAAAAACTAATCATAAAGTAAATGACGTCGTTGATTTTTTTTTCGATATTTAATTACTTTTTTTGACAAGCGTATCTTCAATTAACACGAAGTATAGTTTGTTATTGAATATCACGGGAAAAAACCCACATTAGACTATGGAGAAAAAAAACAAGAAAAAAACACACCACCGAACGTATAAATAAAGCAAGTAAAGTTTCAGCATACACCAATTTACTATCATATCATTCACAAATAAGCATCAAAAAACCAATACAACGGTCCAAATGAATCCACAACGAAGACGACGTATGACCAAAAACAATTTGGTGATCTGGGTCGACGCCAACATCAATACGACCAACGAAGATTACCAGAAAAGTTTGCAGCAACTCGCAGCTGTTGCCAGTAAAGTCAACATATGTACTACGACAGAGGAATGTATTAAGAAACTCCAAGAAAACAACGAGAAGACATCATTCGTGATTGTCTCTGATATATTGGCACAACAGCTGGTACCAGATATTCATGACATGTCAAAATTGAATGCCATATACATTTTCTGTGGCAACGAACCACAGGACAATGCATGGACAAAAGACTGGGCAAAGATCGAAGATGGTTTTACGTCGATTGAGCCCATATGCAACGCACTGGAACTGACCGTCAAACAATCTGATCAAGATCAGACGATGGTCAGTATCATCGGTAAAAATGAAGTTGGTTCTAGCAAAGATCTTAATCAGCTAGAACCTTCCTTTATGTATACCCAAATATTCAAGGAAATACTCGTCGATATGAAATACAGACAAAAAGCCATTCAAGATTTGGCAGAATATTGCCGTAAACAATATCAAGACGATGAACAAGAAATAGAAGATATTGAAGAATTCAAAAGTAGTTATAAGTCATCAAAAGCCATATGGTGGTATACTAGTCCGTGTTTCATATACAAAATGCTCAACAAAGCATTAAGAACATTGGATGGTGATATCATCATTAGAATGGGCTTCTTCTTGCGTGATGTTCACCAACAAATTGAAGATCTTCACAAGCAACAGCTTAATATTGATAAGGAACCGTCATTTACCGTATATAGAGGTCAAGGGCTATCAATAGCTGATTGTGAAAAGCTCACAAATAATCAAGGTGGCCTAATATCCTTCAGTAATTTTTTATCGACGAGTACAGACCGCAAAGTATCTCTCGGTTTTGCTGAACAAGCCTCAACAAACAAAGATATGGTTGGCATTCTTTTTCAAATGACCGTAGATACTACAGTTTCATCAACACCTTTTGCCTCCATCGAAGAGGTGAGCTATTACAAGGGCGAAAAGGAAACACTCTTCTCCATGCACACAGTTTTTCGTATTGTCGATGTTCGGAAGATTGATGAGAAAAGTCCACTCTATGAAGTGGACCTAAAACTTACATCCGATGATGACCAAGAGCTCCGCGATTTGACTGATTATATACGCAAAGAAGTTGGCGGCGAAGGATGGTATCGACTGGGTAGGTTGCTGCTCAAAATTAGTCAATTCAACAAGGCCGAAGAACTGTACATGACACTACTAGAACAGGCCTCCGAGAATAGCGCTAAAGCACTTATCTATCACCAGCTTGGATTGGTAAAACGAGACCAAGGAGTATACAAAGAAGCAGTTTCATTCTACGAAAAGTCACTCCAAATCTATCGACAAACTCTTCCGGAAGATCATCATTCATTGGCTCCTATCTACAACAACATCGGTCAAGTGTATAAGAACATGGGTGATTACTCGAAAGCACTTGAATTTTATGAAAAAGCACATAAAATCTTCAAAAAAGCTCTGCCTCCAAATCATCCCGATTTGGCTATTTCCTACAACAACATCGGCCAAGTGTATAACAACATGGGTGATTACTCGAAAGCAATTGAATTTTACGAAAAAGCACGTAAAATAAAAGAAAAAGCTCTGTCTCCGAATCATCCCGATTTGGCTACTTCCTACGCTTGCATCGGTCAAGTGTATAACACCATGAGTGACTACTCGAAAGCACTTGAATTTTATAAAAAATCACTTAAAATAAGAGAAAAAGCTCTGCCTCCGAATCATCCCGATTTGGCTATTTCCTACAACAACATCGGTCAAGTGTATAAAAACATGGGTGACTACTCGAAAGCGCTTGAATTTTACGAAAAATCACATAAAATCTACGAAAAAGCTCTGCCTCCGAATCATCCCAATTTGGCTACTTCCTACAGCAACATCGGTGGAGTGTATAACAACATGGGTGACTACTCGAAAGCATTTGAATTTTACGAAAAATCACATAAAATCTACGAAAAAGCTCTGCCTCCGAATCATCCCGATTTGGCTTATTCCTACAACAACATCGGTACGTTGTATAAGAACATGGGTGACTACTCGAAAGCACTTGAATTTTATGAAAAAGCACATCAAATCTTCGAAAAAGCTCTGCCTCCAAATCATCCCGATTTGGTTACTTCCTATACTTGCATCGGTCAAGTGTATAAGAACATGGGTGACTATTCGAAAGCACTTGAATTTTACGAAAAATCACTTAAAATAAGAGAAAAAGCTCTGCCTCCGAATCATCCCGATTTGGCTATTTCCTACAACAACATCGGTCAAGTGTATAACACCATGAGTGACTACTCGAAAGCACTTGAATTTTATAAAAAATCACTTAAAATAAGAGAAAAAGCTCTGCCTCCGAATCATCCCGATTTGGCTATTTCCTACAACAACATCGGTCAAGTGTATAAAAACATGGGTGACTACTCGAAAGCACTTGAATTTTACGAAAAATCACTTAAAATAAGAGAAAAAGCTCTGCCTCCGAATCATCCCCATTTGGCTATTTCCTACAACAACATCGGTCAAGTGTATAACAACATGGGTGACTACTCGAAAGCACTTGAATTTTACGAAAAAGCACATAAAATCTACGAAAAAGCTCTGCCTCCGAATCATCCCGATTTGGCTACTTCCTACAGCAACATCGGTGGAGTGTATAACAACATGGGTGACTACTCGAAAGCACTTGAATTTTACGAAAAAGCACATAAAATAAAAGAAAAAGCTCTGTCTCCGAACCATCCCGATTTGGCTACTTCCTATACTTGCATCGGTCAAGTGTATAACAACATGGGTGACTACTCGACAGCATTTGACTTTTTCAAAAAGTCACAAAAAATCTTTGTGGAAACTCTGCCTGCGAATCACTCTAATTTGGGTTATCCATACAACTGGTTTGGGAAAATTTATCGCAATATGAAAGATTATCCAAAAGCACTTGATAATTTCGAAAAATGTCTCGCAATATTTCAAAAAACGTTGCCTGAAAGACATCCTAATCAAGCTATTACATATAGTAATATTGGTGATGTTCATCGATTAATGGGTAATTATGAAAAGGCACTTGCATTTCATCAAAAAGCATTAAATATTCAAGAGAATGTGCAATGTGATCCTAAGGACTGTGCAACGACATATATAAATTTAGGTGAAACTTATCGTGAAATGAAAGATTATTCAAAAGCATTGACATATTTCGAAAAAGGATTAGAAATACGTGAGAAGAAATTACCAAAAAATCATCCTGATTTAGCTGTTGTATATCATAATATGGCAAAATTATATTTGGCTACACGAAAATATAGTATGGCAATGAAAAATATTCAACAAGCAGTTGAAATAGCTCAAGAAAAATTACCTTCAACTCATCCTCATCTTTTGGAATATAAAGAAACATTTGAAAAAATTCGACAGAAAATGTAATTTTTTTTTTCGTTTACTTGCTCAATAAATTGGTTTTGATTCTTTTTCACTTCCCTACTTTTCTAGGCTCATTTTCACGCGTACACGCGCGCGCGCGCGACCAGGGAGAGACCCTATGCGTATGAAACGGGTACACACAGAGCGGACCACGCCGGACTGGTAGGGCAGTGTACATAGATGTACCGTACATAATGACGACAGGGACCTACGTACATTAAAGGCCTTTCCGAGCACTACACTGCTTTCGCCATTCCATGACGAATAGAATCTCCCTCTGGATCAGGTTACGAAGCCACCTGACAAGGCTGTGATATAAATTGGTATCTATCTTCTAACATAAATAACATAGACTCAACATAATAATAATAGTATACACTAAATGTGTACAACAACGAAGAAAAAAATTATTTCATCCGAAATAAATCATCTATATCTCATTCTAACATTATCTCAATGTAAGTATTATTATGAAAATTTAATTTAGAATTGTTCTTTCAAGAAAACAAAACAAAAATTTTTTTTTTATCTCTCAACTATTAATTTATTTGTTCAAGTCTTTCTCAAGATAAATAAGATAATTTTTGAAGCAACATACCCAATCTTGTTATTGGTATAAATCAATAATAAATCATATTC